CACACAGGGGAGATGTTTGGGATCCCTTCCCAGCAAACACTAGGAGTGTCTCTTATGACACCCAGTACATTGTGTGAAGTCACTTTGTTTTCCTGCCACCTCTATGGTGTCATATCCTCTCATATTGCCTGTCTGACGGAGGACCTGAGCACCCGTCATAGCATGGAGGCCAAAAATGGTGAGGACTGAGCCTGGGCAAGGAAGTGAGAAACCTTGCTGCTTTCCTTCCAGATGTGTAGTTCCCTCCATAGAGCAGTAGTCTCATGAGGCCACTGCATCCTTCTCACATGCTCAGATGGAGAAAGCGAAGCTCGGAAAGGTTAGGGGGCCAATGGGGGGCTTCCTGCAGCTGGGCTAGTACAGTCTGGGAGCCAGATTGAGGGCATCCAATTCCCAGTCCTGTCTCGTTCCCACTGAGCCACTCTGCCTCGCTTTTAATTTAATTAGGAGAACATTTAATCCCCTCGTGCATTTCAGAGACAGGTTTGAGCCTGGCTGGGGCTGCATGGGGCTCTGCCGGGGATCCTGTGACTCACACAGCCTTGTGCAGCCCTCCCAGCCAGGCTCCCAGGGGGCTTCTTTGGCACCTAGCGCAGACAGAGGTGGTCTGGAGCCTCAGAGAAGACAGGACACTGGTCAGGGAAGATAAACTGGTCTTATGTGTTCTCCCTTTCTGTCCCCCTGGCCACTGGACTCAGCAGAACCTTACAGTCCTTTCCCACCAATGTGTTCAGGTTGAGAAACGAAGTGAGGAGTGTGGGTGGTTACTGAGGTCCATTGCCCAATGCCACAGCAGGCCCTAGTGTCTTGAAAATGTCCCAGTCAAAGATGGTCCCATTATAGGACCTACCCCGAGTCTATGGAGCTGAGTTCAGGGCTAGACTTGTGACATCTGCCTCCATTTCTAGAAGGCACAGGCTGGCCATTGACAAATGCAGAATTCAAGAGACATTAGTAGTGATGTGGATGAAAGCCAGGCCACAGTGGCCTCACTGGAAAAGAGAAACTTGAACGTCTTGGCATGATATTCTGCAGGGTCCAGGAGAAAGTTGAAGACATGGAAATTCTAATTAATGCACACGGGGCTGGTTTTGCTCATGGATTTTCGAAGCTGTCATGTCGCAAGAGACAGGGCAAGCACATGCTCTCCAGGGAGATGCTCACAGTCACCTGGTGGGTTCTCTGCAGTGCCTTCTTTCCCCTCTAGTTGGCCACACCATTTCAGTGTCAGTGGACTGGGTGCCTTCTGAATGTCACTCATGGGGAGGCGGACTGGTAACCACAAGTGGAGGCTTGCTGTCTAAGTGCCATAACAGAAGAGATGGAAAGGCCAGGGACCAACTCAAAGACCTTCCAGGGAAACCACATGACAGAACAGGGCTGAGCCCTGGAGCACAGGCTGCTAGGTGCATGGTGGGCTTGGCCTCTTGAGCCATCCATGTTGGGTATCCATGTACTGCTAATAGGCTGATGCGTGGTTTAAGGCCTGTCTGGCTCAGCAGTTGGGAGGAGGGAGTGAAAGAGGATTTCACAAATGTGACTGTGGGAGAAGTACACCCAGGCCATACCTGCACAGTCCTTAAGCTCAGAGGTACAGATCTTTGTGCCCTGAACCCTATGACAGCACGCATGGGAGGCACCTAAATCCCTCTCTACATATCCTTAGGCGGGGCTGAGGAGGTGCTCTTTGCATGGGGCAGGGTGTATGGCAGTCCTGGGGCTCCCTTGTGCTAAGAGATTTGGGGATAATGCCCTGCTTCCTTCTAGCCCCGAGAAAAGTGCTCAGGTTATTGGTACTTAGGACCTTGAGAGCCAGAGAAGCCTGTAGCCTTGTAGCTGCCCAGCTTGCAAGGAGGGTCCTTGAGGCAGGGACAATGGAGCAGATACTGAAAAGATGACAGGATTCTGATAGCCAAATGAGTGACAAGGTTGTTCCAGATGACAGAATACCATATATACGGCACAGGGACACACACAGGAGTGTCTGTGTTTCTTTCCCACTGTCCTTCCAGTCACCCTTGATGGGCAGAGGACAGTAAATAGGGCAGCATCCTGGGAACTCATTTTGGTTATTGTTGGGGTATAGGGTTCCTCCTCTCTCATGGAAGTCCCTTACATGCTGCCCAAAATGGCTTTTAGTCTCTATTCACTCTCAAAAGCTCAGGGCAAGATTTTCAGAGGAGGATGTGGGCTCAGCACTTGTGACCTGTCAGACCCTGTCCCTCAGCCCTGTCAGACGCAGGAGGATAGCATCTGCTAGAGAAGTATGTGTGAGGCTGTGGGCGCCAGAGCTGGCAGGAGCCTGGGGGCTACCTCTGAGCTGCTGGGGCTTACCTACTGGGCTGGGGCCGGCAAAGCCATAGTTTCCCTGGCACCGTGTTCCAGTCCCTACTTGCCAGTGACCCCCTAGTTTTCACCAGGCCTGCTTGCTGACTCCTCGCTCCCCAAACCACCACTGGCCAACAGGCCCCGGAAAAAGGAGCTTCGCCCAGACCCAGGGACCTTCCCGTAATCAAGGCTGTGGTGACCTCACCTCCCTGGGGCCCTGCAGGCGGGGAGAGCTTGAGATGGAAACAAAATGTGTCTTTATTTATGCTTTTAATTTGAATTCTGGAACTGGCCCAGCATGGTAATACATTTAACATCAGTAAAATGCTGAAGAAAAATAGATCTGGCTTTCAGCAACCACCTCCCACCCTCTTTGCCCCCTCTGAGACCCCTGCACACATCCCTGTCCTTTGCACATGCATCAGGGCACATTCCTCTCTTCCTAGTGCAAGTCTATGGGGCCAGCTGCCCATAGGAGCTGTGCTGCATCTCTGAGCATCTGGAACCTAGATTAATTATGGGCATCCATCCCCAGGCACACTGGGTAGGAGATACAGGAAAGCAGCCCCCATGTGGGAACAAGGACCTGGCTACCCCTGCCTTAATTAGGGTAGTTGGGCCCTGGGTAAATGCAGTGGCCACTATGGCTCACCTGCTCTCCCATAATGGGGTGGGGACTTAGCTTTGGGGGCACCTGGGTTGCAAGTACTCAGATATTTTACTCTACCTTTGTCTTGTCCTCCCTGCCAGGACTTAAGGGATAGGTGTCCAGATTCCTTGATGTCTCAATCTTGACTCTGATCAGATCACAATCCTTTGCTAAAACCTTGTTCTTCCCTTTCCCAGCCTCTACCCAGCCTTCCCTTCCCTGTAGAGGAGCCCAGCATTATGCCTGGGCTCTCCTCTGCCTTCCCAGACTGGGTCACATCCAGCTCCTGATTTTGGAAGGTACTGCTCTGACAAAAGGCCTGACAGATTCCTGGCTGTGCCAGGGCCCAGCTAACAGTGGAAGTCCAAGAGGCCAGCAGTACAGTTTGAGAAGGGTTTGTAATGTGCCAAGACTACAGAAGGCAGAGGGCTTGGATTCTGTTGTTTTAGAGGGACAAAAAAACCGCCTGGTAACCTGGACCATGAAGTCATATTTGTTTGAGGTTGCTTCTAGATCAGATGAGCAGCCTCTGGTTCTAGGGGGCTCAGAATGTGTTAATGGCAGCATAAGTAGTCTTTGCCCCAAAAGGGGCAACTGCAGGGAGCTGTAGGCTCAACTATGAGCCACATAGGTCCCGAATCATCCACCACTCTCCTCTAGACCTCCCTGGATGCTCTGCACAGGGCCTAAGAGCTGGCAAAGCCTGGCTGTCCTCGCTGTGAGAATAAAGGACAACAGCAGATGAGTGGCCAGAAGGACAAGAAAGGACAGGTTGAGTGGCCCTGTGAGACCTAGGTGACATCCTGGTGCCCACTGGGTTCCAGTATATTCTTGGCTGACTCTACTCCTAAGTAGACCCTCCTTCCATCTTGCACATACCAACCACAGAACTCCAGTTGTCACCATTTTGGGGTGGCCCATGCCTTGGGAACCTTAGCCATAGTCAACTATCCTGTGAGCCTGGATGACCTGGGGAGATAGTGGGCAGGTCCTGTTTGGTCATAATCACACCTTAGGACAACCAGTCATTCCTTGCAGAGTGACCTCATTTTGGCCCCCTCTGCTAGTCCCCAGCACTGTGGGTTCCAACTTCCTTAGTCACCTCTAAGAATAAGTCCACACCTGGCTGACAGCAGAAAGACATGCAGGGTCTTAGTATGACAGAGGTGCAGGTGGTTCACTCAGGACAATCTCCTGACCCTCAAGAGAATCAGAACACAACACACTAGAGAAACACCAGTAGAGATGAAAAGAGCCTTAGCAAAAGTGTGGCTCTCACATCCTGACACAAAGATACTTCACACGGGAACTCCCCATAAGGGAGTGGCTAGAACAGGCCTGAGTGCCCCACTAACCCCAGTGCATGGCTGTCACCACTAGTTGCTTGGTTTGGAGCACTGAGTCACACATCACAGGGGAATCACACACCATGGCTGGGCACCGGGGATTGGCCTGGTGATGCCGTGATGGAGGGGGAGGATGGCATGTATCCCAGGCCAGCTGTGCCTCAGGGGAGGCCAACTGGAAGGCGTGGAAAATCAGCCATTTCCTCCACCTGAAGGAGCCCCTGAGGACAGCAGCGGCAACTGGCAGACAGCACCCGGCATCTGCCCCAGAGCTTTGGCCAGGGTTCCATGGGGAGATGCTAAAAAACAAAGTGGACTTTTTTGGAGTTGGGGGAGGGGTCAAGGAGGGAGAGAAAAACAATCTTCTCAGACGCGCAAAGCATGAAAACAAGTGGAAAATGATCAGTCTGGTTTTCCATAAGTCAAAACAGGAGGATCATGTTCCCAGACTCCCCGGGAAATGCCCTTGCTCTCCTCTTTTGCCTGGTGCCTGGCACTGGGGAAAGGATTGGCAGCTGGTGACTCCAGGTTCCTGAAGGCAGGCAGTAGGTTCTGGGTGCTGGGTGAGTAGTCAGTACTTTGGTGTGAGAAGAAGCCTTCCCTCCCCCTGTGCCAAAGTGTCCCCTCTGAGGCCCATGCCCCTCTGGCCCAGTCTCTGTGGGTGAGTGGGCACTCACTGTGACACGTGGGTTATGGGGGCCAGCAGCGTCTCCCCTTCCAAGTCCAGGTCCTCAGCGAAGCTGTTGGTTCTCAGGAAGTGGGCTGGGCTTACTCCCAGCAGCATGGGGCTCTTCCTTACTGTAGAAAGGGTGAGTGATAATACATTAGGCCTCTACTTGGGGCTTGATGGTGAAGGGGCCCTAGAACTGGGCTCAGATGCCCACCCTTGCCTCTCACTGGTATGGGAAAGACCTGTGAACTCTCAGGTCAGGTGAGAAGTAGAGATGGTGCTCAGAAGCTTCAGCCTTAGGCACTGGTGTGAAGTAGGCTAAGTGAGGGTTTAAGATGGCCTCAAGTGCCTGAGACCTCAATATCCAAGAATATTAAGGGCCACTGAGTCCTCTTCGGTGTGATAACTACCTGAGGTTGAGCTCAGGAGTCGACTCATCGTACCTCACATTCTAGTCTCTCCCCAACTTTATATCTGACTTTTGGGTCAAGAATAAAACATGGATAATAGGCATAGGTCTGGTTGAGACACTGGCTCTCACTGTCAATATAATTATAAAATGATAGGGCTAAAGGTGAGGGCAGTAGGACCCTGCTACACCTAGAAGTCACAGGCCTGTCTCCTCACTGGCCATGATGCCCTATCAACCACCTATACCCTGAGGGAGGTAGAAGAATCATCTCAATATCTGGCTTCATACTCATATCACTGGGCCCCTCAGTGACTGACATAGGAGGTCAGAGGACTGATCCACTTTGTTAATTTAGTAGTTGTTCATAACTTATTTCATTATGTAAAGTATTGCAAAAGAATTAGTACTCTGAAGAAGTGGAACGATTGAAAGATTTACAGTGGCCCTCCTTCCATTGTTGTCACTGTTAACTTCTAGCTCCTGCCCTACTCTGCTCATGACAATGCACAGGGTAGGCAGGAATTGCTTTTTATACATTTGGGACAGCTCTGATTTTGTCCATTTGTTTCTGTTACGCTGCAAACACACTCATCTTCCTCTAGGTATGTCCAGATTTAAGCCACTTCTTCAGACAATGATGCCAGAAATACCCATCTTTATTCCTAAAAGGTGTACTGGAGCAAGGCAAGAGGATATATCCTTGGTTTTGAATAGATGGCTGTGGATTGCTTTTCTAATTTATAGCAACTGATATCCCCATCCTTCTGCCAAACTGCCTATGCTCAAACTGGCTGTCAGCACCCTTTATAATTCTTACCAAACATGAATAAAAACAGAAGTCTCTTTTCATTTTCACCTGCATTAAATGTCTTTGAGATGGCAGCTGTTTGAGTTTCCTCTTATAGAATTACCTTTTTATCTATCTGTTGCTCATTTTGCTTGTCATTTTTTATGAAATTTTTATATATCAGAGAGAGTAACCTTATATAAGGCATAACTATGTCAGTCCAATTTTGGTCTTTTAGCTTTAATTAACTGTAATTATGTTATTTTTATTGTTGAAAATGTCTTTTTTTTCTTTTACAGTGATACATCTTTGCTTTATGAAAAAGGAAGATTTTCCCACACCTAAGTAATACCACTATCCCTTCAATTTATTCCTTATATAAATGTGTGAATGTGTGTATTCATATGTATGTGTAAATTTTAATACATTTAATTTTGATGTCTAATTTGAGAGATGGTCAACAATCAAAATAAAAAATTTAAAAGGTAATATATATAATCTTACTAAAAATCTCAAGTAAAATGGAAACCTATGTAATATTTTGAAGAAAACAGAAAATCACCAGGACCTTGGATTTGGCAGAAAGACTTGCAATGGAGTAGCAACAGGTCAACCAGAAGAGAGAAAGAATCAACAAATTGTATTTTATCACAATTAAAAACTTTTTCTCTGTGGCACTTTCAGTGGAATGAAAAGACAAACCACAGATCTGGAGAAAACATTTTCACTTCACTTACTGAGTCAATAACTATACCTAGAATATGTAAAAAATTCTTATAATTTTATAATAAGGCAAACAGCCCAATTTAAAAAATGGATTACAAATGATTACAAATAAGCATATGAAAAGGTTCTCAACCAGCAACAGTAATCATTAGAGATATGCAAGTCAAAACTACAGTGAGTTACCACTATAACCTTATAAAGAATGGCAAAATTCTTAAAAATCAAAACCTACATAGAAAGCACTCACCAAGATGTAGAGCATCTGGAACTCTCACATGTTGGTAAGAATGCAAAATGACATAGACATTTCATTTACAACTACTGAAAACAAAAAACAACCAAGATATCCTTTGATAGGTGAACAGATAAGCCATGTTGCATTTGTTCCATTCTTGCAGTGGAATACCACTGTGCAATATAAAGATATGAACTAATAAGTCATGTAACAACATGGCTGAAACTCAAGTATACCTTTCTAGGCAATGAAATAAACCAGATGAAAATGTGTATGTGTTATGTGATTCAATCTCTAGGACAGTCTAGAAAAAGCAGAAACTACAGGACCAGAAATAAATTAATGCTAGTGGTTCGGGGCAGGAGTACTTCAATACCGTGGTGGTGGATGCACAACAAGGCATTTGTCAAAGCTCACAGAACTGTAACTCTCCAAGTGAATTTTCCTATGTATGAATTGAGAATCAACCAGAAAGTTGGAGGTTCCTAGGAGGAAAGCACATCCTGATGAGTGGATTATAACTATGCTACAAATGTATGATGGAGCACTGAAGAGACAGGTGGAAAAGAGGCTGGCTTCCTGTTGCTTTCAAAAACAATATTTTAACTGGACACTGAGTAGCAAAAGACAAAATATATTTACTGACTTAAACGTTAGATACTTTAAGGTAAGTTTGTTTCAAATAGGAGTACTTCCTGTACAACAGGGTTATATATAATTGAATAAATATACTAGATAGTGGAGGCAAGAGCTGAAGCTAGTGGAGCAAGGGTGTATATTGTAGTTTGATACATCGGTATAAACTTAGGGATAGCTGCAAACATTGAGTGACAGAAATATGGACACCATTATATACTCAGAATACACACGCAGAATACACACACACACACACACACACACACACACACACTTACTTCCTAATTCTACACACTGACATGAGTTAGAAACTGACACCCTCATAACAATGAACATAAGAAGTGTTCACCACATGGTTACTAAATACTAGTACTATTATGTTCTCCAGTATAAAGAACCAAGACTCTCTGGATGAATGGGTGATTCTAAGGACTAATACCCGGAAAATATAAAATGGATCTGAAGTATTGTTTAGTGCCAGAAAGGAAGGAAACACAAAAATAAACATAAAAGAAAGATGGGACATGTCAAAAGAACACATGCCAAACTGGACAAAGCTAGAATAAGATGAACAACAAAATAACAATAGTATTGGATTAGAACAAAAATACCTACTCCTTAGTCCATACTGATATATAATTGAAAAGAGAGGCCAATCTTTCTTACTAAAGAACTCCAAATAATAAGTGTAGAAAGACTGAAGAAAATAGAAATACACCATAGTGGTATCTGCTGCAGGAAAGACCTATGAATGAATATTGAAATTAGTAGGTGAAACTTTAAGGAGGAACTTGAGAGTAACTCCCCCAAAATGTATTTTAACTTCTGTGGTGGTTTCAACACATATTCATATATTCTCTGATACCTTCATGCAGGAGCCAGAGCAACACTTACCACCCTTTGAATATGGGCTGAAGTTAAATGATTTGCTTCTAAGGACTAAACTACAGAAAGGGAAAAATAGCTCAGTTACAATGGAGGAACGTGACCCCCACCACCTTCACCACATGGATGTGATACAATGAGAAAAACATCCTGTCTGTGTGGCAATCTTCTCCGGACCTATAACCTTAGAATAATCCTGGGAAAATTTAGACAAACCCAAACTGAGCAACACTGATAACTGACCAGCATTCTTCAAAAGTGTCAGCCTCATAAAAAATAAGACTGAGAAGCTGTCATAGGTCACAGAAGATTAACTCTGCTACCATAAAAGTAATGATGGATAGGGATGGGATCCTGGATCAATAAAAGGACATTAGTAGTTAAACTGAGGAAATAAGCGTTGCTTGATAGAGTTGTCTTAATGTTAATTTTCTAGTCTTAGTCAATATACCAAGGTTATACAAGATGTTAACATTAAGGGAAGCTGGTTAACACCAAAGAATCTTAAGTATTTAAAGATAATGTGAAAACTATGAAGAACATTATAAAACTTTAATCAGAGACATTGAAGACAAATAATTGGAGAAATATGCCTTTATTGCACTGTCTAGAAGATTCAATACAAAAAAAATTCTCCTTAAAACTTAAAAAATCCCAAAGTTTGTATATGACCACTTTGCAAGATGGTTCTAAAATTTATTTTGAAGTGTAAAAGGCTAACAATTGGTAATATTCAAGAAGAGAGTGGAATATTGTTTTACTAAACATTCTTTTTCTAAAGCAGTTGTCATGAAGAATGTGGGGCAGATGCAAGGAGAGACTGAGGTCAGTTGGACACGACTGAGCGTTGGGAGATAGTCCCCACGTATGGACACTTGCACTGTATCAGTGGTCACCTGTGTATTACTGAAAGAGGATAGACTTTTCAATAAAATGCTTAGGAGCAATTGCATATGCACATGGGAAAAACGTTACATTGGACCCTTAATTTCCTCCACCCACACATCAAAAACTCATTCTTGGCATTCCAGGGGATTGAAGGCCTAGTTATGAAAAGCAAAACTATAAAGCCTATATGACTGAATATAGAATATCTTCATAACCGTGGGATTAGGAAGAATTTTTTAAAACACAAAAGTAATAGCCATAAAGGAAAAGATTAATTAATTTGATTGCAGTAGAGTCAAGACCTAATAATCAAATTACATTGTAAAGTGTGAAAAGACAACTACAAAAGAAAAATATCTACAAAATATAAAGAACTCCTGCAAATCAATAAGAAAAATATAGCGGAGCTAATTAAGAATGAGCAACAGAAAAAAATAGCACATCATAAAAGTGGAATCAAAAAGGCTGATGATCATGTGGAAAGGTGTTGTGCCTGACTAGCAATCAAGGAAATGTAAATAAACTCAGGAGCTCATGGTCCATGGGGACCAGTGGCAGACTTCCAGCAGGAAACTGCATAGACATTACTTAGTTGCAGCCGGGAGAAGGGCTCTGAGTAAAGGGCTCTGTGCCCATGACATCCTTGGAGAGACCAGTCAAGGACTGGTAAGCCTCGAAGAATGTGTGCACATTCAGAGGCCCACAGGTCTGGAACCTGGTGGGAGCATTTTACCGCCCCCATTTTACAGGCTCGGGGCTGAGATTCAAGTACCCTGGGTTATATTATACAGTTGTCAAGTGAAAGAGCTAAAACTTCATCCAGGATTCAAATGTTCTTTTGGAAAATAAGAAAAAGAACACAAATACATATTTCAATGTCTGCATCACTTGTATACAGAATGAAGGAGTGGCTGCAAGAGGGGCCCTGCTTTACAAACACCCAGGATGATAAGTGCCATCTCCAAAGCCCGAGGGCCAAGGCTGAGCCACTCGACCCCTGAGAAAGGCCCTGTGCTGGTGTTTTAGGAAATTAAAACGTGCACATCAGTTGGCTGTTCAGAGCAGGTGGGGCTTGCACCTGCCAGAGAGGAATGTGTGCTCTTTGGTTTAATCCTGGGAACAGCACAAGGGGCCCTGCAACAAGGGTCAGTGAGGGGGGCTCCACAGGGTTGTTTTTCCAAATCAAAAGGAGAGGCTGCTATCTGCTAGGCATGTGTGTTGGTGAATGTTGGGTGTGCTTCCTCCACAAAGACACAAAAGACCAGGGCTGCCACCTCCTCTTCAATTTGACCTGGAGCCACAGCCACTGCAGAATTCTAGAAGACTGTTGAGGGGTTGGGGGGCAGGGACACATCTCTTCCTAGATACAGTGGTGCTGTTCCTTTTAGTCAAAGGCTTGGGACAAGTGCTGTACTCCCACTTCTCCCACTTCTGAGGAGCCCAGTTTTGGTCCATCACAATGATGTGAAAAGATAGCCCAGCTGCAAAGCAAGTGGAAACCATGGTGAATGTGAAAGGGCAGCTTATCTGGACACCCAGACCCTGCAGAGGGCAATGGAGTAATGCCAGGTGTTCTCTGTTCAACTAGCCAGAGTGCCTGGCTCTGGGGAACAAGCACTGTTTCCTGGTGACAATGAAGTCACACTTTTCTAAGGCAGTCCCAGTTTTTGATGCTTTCATTCCTTGGCTGCCTGTGCTTTGTCAAGGCCAGAATCTGCGCCTAAGTTTTCAGGGCAGAACAAAACAATTTTGTTTTCTAGGAAAATGGGAGGTCTGGGGTGGTGAATGCAGCATCAGGCGTGGCGACTACCCCAGCTGGGGCCGCCAGCTGCCAAATCTCACCCTGTCTCAAGAGAACCGGAACCAGACTCAGCACAGCATCTTCCTTTCCAGCCAGTAGACCTGCTCAGTAGGGTTATTTGCATTTTATTTTACAAAATATAACCACAGAAAAAAAGACTGGAAGGAAATAGATAAAAATGTTAATTGTGTTTGTCCTTGGGTGAAGGGACTTTGGGTGATTTTTATTTCCTTCCTTATCATGTCTACGTTTTCAATTTTGAATGCTATTTTCAAAAGTCAGAAAACAATAATTCTTGAAAATCTCGCTTATCTGTGCCTTGTTCTCATGTGCCCTGCCATATGTCATTTTTTAGTTGACAGAATATATGAGTGTCCCACATCCCTCCCTTCTTCATTAAGTTGTTCATTTGGCTGGATTACACAGAACCCTTCTGCCGTGAAGTTCTTCAAGTATTTCCATTCCAATAGCATGTGGCTTCACTTTATCTGCAATGAGCACTCACTCACTCCTTGCTTATACCAAGTCAGCGTTCAAGTGCCAGCTAAGGGCCCAGTTCACCCCTGCTGCCCACTGCCCTCTGCTGAATGTTATTGGTATCCATGCTCTTCCTTGTACCTTCACCCAGCTGCTCAGCCTCTGTCCTACTCCTGATTAAAATCCTGCTTAATCTCCCAGGTGTTACCCAAGCCTTTCCCGCTACAACCTTCCCATGATTGCTGCCTCCTCTGGATAACTGTGGGGCTTACATTTACCTGACCCTCAGCACAGGAACCTTGCATTCTGCCTCCCCCACATCCCTCCTGTGCCTGGCATAAGCAAGACTGCTGAGCCAGCTCACCCCTCTGGATAAACACAAGCTGCCCCTTTCCTTCCCAAGGAGTGGCCTCTTTTCTGGCTTTGTCAAGAAATCTCCCCCTCTTGGTGGATTCACCAAAGCCTTGTGGATACTGCACTGTGAAGAGAACTGTTCCCTAGGGCATCTGGACAGCTGCAGCCAGGCTCTGCGTGACATTGCTGAGCTGAAGCCCCACAGCCTGTGCCAGCTGCCATGCCCAACTCATAGACCTTGAGCCAGAGGAACCCCGCCACCACCTGTGTCTCATCTCAGAGGCGAGAAGTAAGGGACACGGACAGAAAGTGAAAAAGCCATTCCCACAACAGCTGCCAGGAACAAGGCGAGGAGTGGAGTGAAAATGTATATTCACAGCTGGCACCCAGTTCCGCTTAGGAAAATACCTTGCTTGAGTGGACACCTGTTGTTTTTGCCTGCCCAGCAGGCAAGACTGGCTTTTGAAAAGAGCTTCTCGAATCTTCTTTTAAGGGGTTTCCCCCTTTTCAATTCCTAGCGTTCAAGGTTCAGGTACGCACTGGCCAACTTTAGAGGGGGTGATGCAGCCCCCACCTTGGACACCAGAAGTGCAGTTGCACATTGGAGGACAGTTGGTATCCTTTTTGGGGGCAATGATAGCCTGGCCCAGAGTATGGCAGGAATTATGAGAAAAGAGATGGCCTTTTACTGCTGGTTTGCTGACTTGGTGTATACAAGCTGATGGTAATCTTGTCTGTATTCGCAAGTGGCTGCCAGAGGATATAGCTATGTCATGGGGACAATGGATAGTGAGGGAGAAAACAAAAGAATGAACTGGTTGGAAGAGGAGGAGAGCAAAATCTTCACAACTCCGGGGTCCAGCTGTGTCTGGAACAGCTGGGTCCAGATGTGTGAGCCAAAAAATGTTCCTTTTGTCCTTAAGCTAGTTTGAGTTTGGGGTTCCATCATCTGTTACCAAGAGAGTCTTCAGGAATGTGTGTGACAAACTTGGGGGTAACATGTGAGTTTGAGATGTGGCTGGGAGGGGGAGGTCAAGGTTACAACAGAGCTAAACTCCTCCAGACAGCCCTTGCTGGGCTTTGCAGGGCGGAAGGCAGGGAGGAAAAGGCTGGCGGGAAAGAAGTTGGCCTGAGGCCTGGGCTGCAACCCTGCAAAGCCAGGGAGTTCTGGGAAAGGGGCTCCCTAAGGCTGGGTGTTTACTTTCTACTGTTGTAATGTAAATCCCCATAACTTCAGTGAGCCCCTTTTTACACTCTTGTATAAGTGGGTGTGTGGAGCAAGTTGTGGAGCATGTTGGGGTTTACATTTAGTCAAAGGTGTTCCAGAATAGACTGGACTTGAGAATGAATAATATGAGAGTCGACAGTGATATGAGAGTCGAAGACAACCTCTGGAAATCCCTGTAATGATGCTGGGCTCTGTGTAATCCTTGAGTTTCAATTAATGGGTACCCTTGTCCTCCGAATGCATCCCTTCACAACAAACACAGTAGAGTGTGAATAGTAGCGGTGCTGAGCAGGACAAACAACAGCCCTGAGTGTGCCCTGGAAATAGAAAGAACAACACAGCTGCCCACAAAACAAAATCAATTCACCCAGGTCTCCGAGCTGCAGGAAGTCACTGTCCAGGTCTCCCAAGACACATTTCCAAGGGAAGGTTCCAGGCAGCAAGAGCAGCCCCAGGAAACTTTAATATACAATGGAATCTGGGTTAAGCACTATCTTCTCCAAGAGTTGAGCTCACAGGACATTCCCCAGAAACCTCTGGAGAGGTGGGGAGGAAAGTTTCTGGAGGTCTTTGGATGAAGAAAACAAAAAAGTGGCCTTGATTTTCAAGGCGAAATTACACAGGAAGAAAAAAATGTTTTTAATCTAATTAAGAGCGATCTTTTCACCTTCATCACAACATCACGGAAATGTGCCAGTTCTTAACTTCACACAATAATCAAAGCAATTAGTGAGGGAGAAGCCTTGGAAACTGGTGCAGATGTTCTCAGAATGTTTAATGGGGAAATGAGTTGCAGGCCTCGGTCTCAGCATCCGGCTCCAGGCCCTGGCTACCAAATCCAGACATCTGCTGGGGCCCCACCCCCAGGCCCCGAGGGCGCGGGCTTGAGAAACACAGGTCCCTTCCCAGGCTGCCTCCAGCCAGGCCAGATCTGGGGCTGAAAGGCTCCCCATGCTCAAGCCAGAGCCTGGACACAGTCAGAGCCACCCCAGAGCTGGGGGGAGGCTTAACGTCAAAATTATGTTAACAACTGATGTCAAAAGTAATCAACTCAGCCCTGTTCCCCCATCCTTGCTGGCTGCAGGAGCGCTGTGAACAAGAGGAGGGCAAGAGGCCCCAGAGGTACCTCTGCAAAGAACCCCTCATCATGAATACCACTGCATGTAATGATATAGTAGTATCTGCTTAGTATGCCTTGTGGGCCTAATTCTATTGCTGGACCTGTTTGGTCTAAGAATAAAACTGGGCAATCCTTGAATAATTGCCAGTAATCAGAAAACTTGTACAAGTGTGGGTAGTCCTTTGGAAATAGCCAGTTCCAAAAAGGAGAAGGGTACATGGCTAATGTTAAACGGCTGTAGGAGAGATAGAGACCTTGGGCAGGCAGTTTTAGAATGGCATGTACTAGGAATATGGAGGTGAGGAAAATATTGATCCTGTTCTCAGGGATGCAGGCATCATTGGGTCCTACCTGTGTACCACCTGCAGTATGCACATCCTTCACACTTAAGGATTCTCAATGTACAACTCCCAGATACACTAATGAGCATCAAACCTGACATCAGGGCTGCTTAACTGTGCATGTGGCAAGAGGGATGGGAAATGAATCCTCAGGAAAAATATTCAGTGGTGATAAATAACCAGTTTCCTGCATCTCTGGCAAAAGTAAAGCATGCTCTCTACAGATACCCAGCTGCCTACCGCGGAGTTCTTTCTTGGTGACTGGCATGGCATTCCTGACTTAGGCATTACATCCATGGAAACTGACCCAAGACAATGTGAGAGGAAGCTGCTGAAGCATTTAAGAAAGGAAGCAGTAAGACACACTGTATATTTAAAGAATCCTCTGGGGATACTGTGGAAGTTGAGAGACCATTGAAGAGGAAAGCAACAACCCAGGAAGAGAAATGATGGTGACATTTACAAGACAGGTCTGTGAGGAGGTTATGAAAGGGCAAATCCAAAGAATTGACAAAGCTTGCGAGGTATTTGACAGGGGCAATAAATTTTTAAAAATGCATTATTTGAAAAAGACTGACGGAGGTTTGGAGAACAATAGCATGCTGCTTCTCTCACTCTGACTTCATATCTCCCCATATACCTTCCTAAAACATAAGACCAACAAAACGCATTTAAGGTAATACATGACCCAGGCCTTCACCAGTACTAGGAAGCAGTACTACAGCCTGAGAAAGGAGAAAATCAAATTCGGACTACATTCTAGCCCTCTGCTCAGCACTGCAAGCCTGTAGGTGCAAAATGTCTAACAAAGCTTAAACTATTTTATTTAAAAAAAAAAAAAAAAAACCTGTGGTGAGCAACATTGCAAAAATATTTCCAAGGACCTTCCCTTCACAGACACATTTTTTAAAGAGGCAGATCCCCTTAACCATGTCAAAATTCTTGAAAAGCAGTCAATGGTTTACAGTGATTAAGTGAACATCAAACCAAGTTGTAATACAATTTAAAAATGGTAGGAAGCCAGCTGTGGATGCACAAACCTGTAATCTCAGCACTTGGGAGGCTGAGGCATGAGGGTAGCCTTTAGTTCAAGGCCAGCCTGAACTACAAGGCAGCATCCTGTCTCAAGAAACAACAAAACGGTATGAAAGTGTTGTGGCATTTTTATTTGCCTTTTAATCACCACCCCGAAGCTTGGTCAGCTTTGACGATGGAAGCTTATTCTGTATTTCAAGTGTTGTATATTAGTCCCTGGTTCTAGAAGGAGCAGAAATCTTACTTTAAAAGACTTGGTTATTTTCTATATTGATTGACGGCTGCCTGAAGGACTGATGTAAAGTGATTGCCTTTGTTTCACCTAACTCACAACCGATTCGGGGATGAAAATGTTGGATGTTACTTGCAAATATGGTAAAATGTTTGAACAAATCAGAGCGACCTGGAGAATAGAAACCTGAGGAAAAGATTAGTGGCTGAGACATAAATTAGGCTACTGCAAACCTTTGAAGACCATCACTGAGAATTTCTCTGAAAAAAGAGTAATACAAAGTTTCTGTGTATCCTGAGGAGAATTTTAAATCAATGTGTGTGCACAAAATTGGATACATGCTAAGAGAAGTCCTCAGAACAGCATTAAACTTCTGGAAGATTTCTGTGCTCACCTATGCAGATGAAGGCTAAGAGGTTTATAAACAGCTTGGCTAAATGCTAAAGGAATACTCTAGCAAAGCTAATTTGCAAAAGCTGCAATAATTTTTGTTTCCTTTTTCTTGATCTCTCTCTCACTCGTGGCCCTCAAGGGTATCTGTTATAATGACATGAACATAAGTTGAAGGAAAAGGAACTACAAAGACCACCCATGGCAGTACAGATGTAACAAAAAGTAGTTTAAAATCACTAAACAAACAGGTATAGACTGTGGGATTAAAAAAGGTCCTGATTTCCAGAGTTATCATACATAATTCTCAAAATATCCAGTGTTAAACAGAAATATGAAATATGCAAAAAAATGGCCATTTGTAAAGAAATTTAAAGGTAGCACAGTGAACTTACTGGACAAAGATTGTAAGTAGTCTCAAATATTGTCAGAGATGTAAAGCACATCATGAGCAAACACCTGAAGGAAAACCGGACAATACACAATATCAATACATAAACTACAGAAAAAATTTAAAGTTCCAGAACTCAAAAGTATAACATGAAGCTCAATAAGCTAATGACTAGAGGGTTAAATTAGCAGATAGGTAGAAAAGTGAGTCTGTGAATTCAAGAAAGATTGAGTAAAATTACCAGTTCTGAGTATTAACGGGAGAGAATGAAGAAAAATGAGCAGAAACTGAGAGTCCTATAGTATACCAACAAGTACGCAGGAAGAATATTTTAACTTCACCAAGTTGATGTAGCACAAGAATCTATATGTCCATGAACCTATAGAAACTCTTCAATTGAAAAGAAGTCACACAAATAACCATAATCAAACTGTTGAAAAAGAATTATGAAGAGAACGAGAGATGACTCATCTTGTAGTGATTTCAAAAACATTTCTCATTAGAAAGCGTGGAGGCCAGAGGGTATGGGATGGCTTTTTTAAGTGTTGAGAGAGAAAAAAAATAGTTTGACAAATAATTTTATATCTAGCAAAACTATTCTTCAAAAATAAAGGAGAATTGGGCCCGGGATTTAGCTCAGTGGTGCCACTGCCTGCCTCACAAGTACAAGGACTGAGTTCAATCTCCGGTACCAAAGAAATAAATATAGAAAGGAGGAGAATTCAGTCTTTTCAAATGAACATAGAATGAGGGAGCTTATCACTAGGTGATTTTCTATACAAAGGCAATTAAGAGATGAATGATTAAAAGGACAGTAGAAAATAACATGAGTCTGCATATAAAAAAAAAACATGAAATAGTAAAATAGCTACCGAAACAAAATCCAGCATTATCCTATTTTTAGTTTCTAACTAATTCCTATTTGACTTAAAAGTGCATAAAACACATCTAGATAAAGATACCTGAAAGAATGTAGCACAAAATACATTTTGAGACTACTGGAACATAGAATGGAGCTGTACGGCATTTTAACTTGTGTGTAATTGGAACTGTATTGATGTAAGTCCAAATGAGTTTTATAAATTTATCATGTTGTAACTCTCATCTAAACTATTCAGAAAATGTCTTAAATATTTGAATACATGTCTACATGTAAGAGGCTTAGAAGTCCTTACTGTGTCTTAATAAGTTAAAAGTTGAACAAACCAAAAAATTCACTCAAGATATGTAGCAGAACTGAAGTCACAAGGCAAAACACTGCTCTCAAAATTGGAGTGAGACAAGTGGATTCAGAGAATCAACACATTAGAGATTACCTGCTAAAATCAGTGCTGGGTAAGAACATCTGAAGAACAGTTTATAAATTGGCAGTCAGGTATGGACAAGCCTATGAATTTAAAAAAATCCAAGGAGATCCAGTTCCGTATGTATTGGTAGGGGAAGAGAGTTCAAGTTTTCATGCATTATCATCTCCCAAGAGCTTCAGGTTTTCATGATAAACAAGTTCCCTGGTAACTTTCATCATGGTACGGAAAAATACTTTGAATATACCACAATACTTTCATCATAAAAAGGCCTGCTTTCAGGTGAAATTATAGAACCAAACCTGCTGGAGCTTCATCAGAACCTAAATGACCTGGGGCAAAGCAAGTAGCCTGCTTTAACCATCCATGTATCAGAATGGAACTATCTAGCTCCCACTCTGTCCACCCTATGCCAAACAAGAGATAATACCCCAGTGAATGTATGGTAAGTTTGTAGCCAAGAGACCTATATTTAGTAAGGTGAGACCTTAACATAAAACTATAGAAGACTACCCTCAGTCCCTCAAATTAACCATTTTATTACAAATGACCATTTATTAGCTGTTCCTTTTACTAACTTCATCATGTCCAGTTATTAAAAAAGCCGTAAGTCATACAAGAAGGGGAAAACCTTTTTAAAAGAGCAAGCATCAGAATCAGATGGCAAACATGTTGGAATTAGACTGGGAATTTAAAGCAACTATTAATGTGTGAAGGAATGTCATGAACAAATAAGAGCATTCAAGAACATGGACAATATAAACGGCAATGGAATTCATCGGGAAAAAGAAAAATGTTGAGATAGAAATGCTAACAGAAATGAAAAAAATCCTTAATGGGCTTATTAGTAAGCTGAATGTAACTAAGAAAAGAATCTATGAACTTGATCATATTTCAATAGTAATATCGAAAACTATAAAGCAAAAGTAAAGAAGAAAATTGGAAGTAAAATGGAGAAAGCAATATCCAAGGGATATGGGACAACCACAGAAGGTGGTATAATGTGTAATGGAAATGCTAGGAATAGAAGTAAAGAAAGTAGAAGAGAAACATTTGAAACAATAATGGTGAGAATTTCCTCTGACTAATGACATACACCAAGTTACAAGTCCAGGAAGCTTGTAGAACAATGAGCAGGATACATGTAAAACAAACAAAAAACAACTAACCAACTCCCTCTCACACAACTAGGCATATAATTCAAACTACAGAACTCAAAAGATAAAAAGTCCTATGTGAAGGTAAAAGGAAAAAACTTGATTTTAAAAGAAGCAAATGTAAGAACCACATCCACATTTGAAGATTGATGTGAGCAAGAAAAGTAGAGTGAATAAACAAGAAATCCTAACAAGTTACCAGTCTTGCATTCTTTATTCTGGAAATCATTCTTCCAAACAAAGGAGAAATGGTTTCTCAGAGAATAAAAATTGAAACAATTTGTTGCCAGCAGACCTTCCCTGGAAAAAGTGTTAAAAGTTTTCTAGACAGGAAAAAAAAAAATGTCAGAGACACAGATATACCTAAAGAAAAATGAAGTAAATGTAAAATGAGTTTTTCCTTTAATTGACCTAAGTAAGAAATAAGGATTTGTCCAAAATAATAGTAGTAATGATGTATTTAGTTTTTATGTTTATGTATAAATGACATATTTATTCATGTGATGAAAGGGAAAATATGAAGGAATAGGATTAAGTTACACACATGAACTGATTATATTATACAACACGTTATTTGAAAGTTGGCTTGGATGCATTGAAAGTAGATACTACAAAATATAATACAAATGCATTAAAGAGCAAAAAAAGTATAATGAAGATAAGAAAGGAAAGATGATATCACGATAAATAATAAACTAAAATCACTAAGGACCAGAGACACTTGGAGACCCAGAAGTGGTAGAAAACATATTTCACCAACAGCAGTAGTGCACCTCTTATGCAAGGGATGGCCCAGCAGTCTTTCTAGGATTCATGGTTACAGAATGCTTTTAAAGAGAGCACATTCTCTGTGTTCCTGAGGCAAATTTCAGAGATAGAAGTCTGTTTTTCATATTCATTGGCATGGGGTGAGTATCCTGTCTTTCCAATACTTACTGTACCTATCTGAGGGTCCATATTCCTGATGTCTTATTATATCATAATTCTGGAACTGTAATAGAATGGCCTTGGTAAAACAAAGCCAAAATGACTTGCCAATACTGAGCTGGCTGCAAACAAGATATCCACGAAAAAGCTGACAGCTGTTAGATAAGTAGTATAATCAGTATCTCTATTAATTTAATTGACAAAAAACATTTTT